CCCCATCTCCTCCGGGACGGGCTGTTCTGCCCCCTCATCCCTCCTGACCCTGCGGCAGGTGCCTGGGAGGCAGCAGCAGGAAATCCAGCCCCGTCCCGCGGCTGCCTGGGAAGAGGATTTACTGTCTGYGCTTGGACACCCCTCTGCATCCTGACCTAAGGCATTCCTCAGGCGTGAGCTGTGCTGCCCAGCAGGCAGCCCGAAGGACAGCTCGGTGCCCGAGTRTTTCCAGCAGGATCAGTCCCATCTCCCCTGCCTTTGCTGCTGTTCCCCTTTCCACTCTTCTTCCCTAGGCAGTGACAGAGGCATTCTAAATATACCACTGTCTTAATTAAATTTCAGCCGCAGACCAGCGGCTAATTGACAGTTCTGAAAGTTTGTCCAACTTAGGCGGGATTCAATTAAACCCAGCTCTCTTTAGCCCTTTCTGCCCTTATGTCCCAGTGCTGCGTGACCCTTTGTTATTTCTCCAGGAGTAATTGGCAGATAAATCCCCCCAGTGCCATGAGATCTGCAGCAAGTGCCCGGGAGTGTTAGCTCAGTCGGGCAGCAGTGAGCGCCCACTCCTCCTCCCCACGCTTATGCTGGCGTGTCAGGAGCGTGAGAGAACGTTTTAGGGGGGGTGATGGATGAAGGTCAGTGTGCAGCTTGCTGAGGAGATGCCAGCTGAGAGGATGGGCAGCTTTGGTGCTGCCAGGTGATAAATCACCAGCAGGAAGGAGGGAAAGGAGCAGCTCTGCTGCTGGAGGCTTCGGCTGGTGGATCCCCCTTGCCTTGGAGGCAGTAAAGCTGCAGAGCTGCGGCCGTGGATGGGTGTTGCCAGGGATGGGATCTCAGGCGGGATCTTTAGGATTCTGTCGATAGCTGGACTGATTTCTATCCACAGACCAAAGTGATCCACGGGCCTAGACTGGAGCAGCTGGGGCTCCTAGATGGCTTCTTGCAGCTGCAATCCTGGAGCTCAGGGCTCCTTTATTCACACTCACAATGCATTGATTTCCCTGCGTTGATGTGTCAGTGATCAGCACAAGATCTCAGCTAAGCAGTGCAGAGAGAAGCCCAGTTATCTCCAGAGAATAGGGCTGTGCTGTCACGTTTGCTGATACCGGATCCGTGTGGCCACAGGTCCCTTGGTATGAACTGCATGTGGCTCTGGCAGGAGCACGTGCTGGTGTCTGTGCTGACTCAGCCAGAACTCGCRCTGTGACATTTAGTCCTGGGTGAGCAGCATCCTCAGCACGAGCCCTGTGTCCTGCCCTGCTGCGTCTCTGCCCGCTTAGTGCCTCTTCCTGGCCTCTAAACCTGAGCTCTGAGCACTGCGTATCCCAAAAAGCGCCGCACTTCTCAGAAAAACTGAAGCCATGCTTTACCCTGGGTGCCTTGTGTGTTTTATTCACTCTCTGTGTTTTTATTCACCCTCAGCTGCACAGGCATAGACTGCAAGTGTACAACTCTGCCACCAAAAAAAMCAGAGACACTTACTCCTAAATTATTTACCACCCTGAAGTTGCCCCTTGATTTTGATCTAACCTGTTAGTTGCTTAATTAAAGCTCCCTATTTCTAAAACTTGCCCTTTCAGTGCTTCTTGACCCAGTAAAACGCCRGCTGCTCTCCTTAATTACACAGCAAACGAGTCTCCTGGTAGGGGAAGGCGGCTGTTGTTGGCTCAGCTYGTGCTGAGCCTCTAGGTAGGAATTTGTCAGCAACGATGAGGCTGGAAGAGCTCAAGGGAAAGAGCTGAAAGGGAGGAAGAGCGCGCCAGGGAGCAGCCCTTTCCCTGGAAGTGGAGCAGGTTCTCAGAGCTCAGCTTCAACACTGCCATGGCCCCATGGAGAGCAAAGAGCACATTATTAAATCTAAAAGAGTGGTACTTTTACACTGATAATGTTCCTGTCACCGAAGACTGTGCTGAGCAACCCTTTGGCTTGCTCAGAGGTAGAAGAGAGTGGGCCCCACATTAGGGAAGGAGGGAAGGGAGGAAGGGAAGAAAGGGAGGGAGGGAGGGACGGAAGGAGGGAAACAAATGTTGGAGCCATCTGGAAGCACCTCCTGCCCACAGGGCCCAAGCCTGTGCCCTTCCAGCCCCTGCATGCAGTTGGGCTTCATTTATGTGAGATGCTCCAGAAATAGAAGAGGGATTGGAGGTTTCGGCTGTTCTGGATTCCTCTGAGCCCTGGACCCACGTGGCTCTGCTGCTCGATGACGCTCTCCTTTCCTCACCCATAAATTGCGTTCCCCGAGGCTGCTGCTCTCTTGCTTCTCCCTTCACTTGCTCCTGCCTTCCTGCTGCCTGTCTTSTCCCTTGCTTTGGGGGCTGAGGACSCTCTCCGGAGGCAACAGGTTGTGTTTGAGGGTGCTTGCCTGCAGTTCCACCAAGGGAAACGCAGTTTTGCCCTGGTTTGCAGGCCTGCCAGGAGGCAGCGTCACRCCAGGACACAGCGCAGGCTCCAGGCAAAGAGGGAAGGGACAGAACTGCTCCCAGGAGGAGCAGCTGGTGCTGGGGGAGCAGGTGGTGATGCCCAGTGTGACACCAGCCTCGACAGAGGGGTGCCCTCGGGCCAGGGCTGCAGTGCTGACCCCAGGGCATGATGCTCCTGCAGGGCCATCTCAGYGGCCTTGTCCCTTGTGTCCCCAGGACAAGGCCTGCTGTCGTCAGGAGAAACGGGGGAGCAAAACCTAGTGGTGCCTTGGAGCTGTCATCAAAAGCAAAACATGGTGAGGGACAGCAGCCTCAACATCAACACTGACTGTTTGTGATACTGATGGGCCTCAACGATGACTTTGGTCCTATACGTTTTGTAAGGGCATGACRTCTATAGCTATAGCTATCAATGTCTCTTGGTGCACATGGATACCTCTTGATCTTGAGAGTCCTCGATCTCGACATCCTCTTGCTTTTCCTTGTGCCTTGTGGAAGAAAACCATAAAAATGAACCAAATCCCACCTGCCAGATCCTGGGCCACGCATCCRAGAGCGCTCCTCTAAGACTGGAGTGAGTTGAGTGGACCCAAAAAGAAACCTTGAGATCCTCTGGCAAAGGGCCACCTTAATACAGTGCGCAGATAACTGTTTATTATTGCACATAATCCAGCAGAACAACCGACTGAAAACTCTGGACAGTATTACACAGATCGTAGTAAATGGCTTGCAAAATCTGTGGTGAAAGGGTTTTTTTTTCTTTTGTTTTGTTTTGTGAAGACTGAAAGGTATCTGCATCTTTGTAAGACCTGAAAAGTTTAACTCCGTATCTTAGTCAGTTTCGAAAGCATGCAGTTTGAGGTAAATTTGTTATTCTGCATCTAAGAAAACAAAATCCCTAAGGGGCTATATATTTATTCATATATATCCACATCGCAGGGCAATATGGATATATTTATACGTCACATAAAAGCAAATCTACCTACTCTTTTCAGAATGTTCCTAGGAAGAAAGCACATAACCGAGTGCACATCACATGCATACAAAACTGGGGTGGGAGCAGCGAATCAATGCTGAAAAAGATTCAATCTTAACAATGTTGAAAAAGATTCATTTTTGTGCTTAGTGATAAATAAAGGCCCCTCAGGTCTCGCAACAGAAATTGTATTGGTAAATATTGAAATATCTGGCATTTTGATATGCTGGTTTTTGGCATATGAAAACTGCACAGCTGCAAGTGAGTGCCAGCAAATGGGGGGTAAAGCATCAAAGGTGACGGAGCCTGGGGCTTGCAATACATTGATATTTAAGAAAAGAAAAAGAAAGCAGCAAACTGCTACTAAACTATGCTCTGTGGAAGTGTATATGACCCTGCACAGCTCTTTCAGGACTGGTACAGGACAGGCATGGCTTTGAGAAAGGGATTGCATTCACTTCTCCCACAGCTAACACCACGTATTTGTGACTGCGGCAACATTCCTGAGCTAAATAAGGTTAGAAAATAAACGTGGCTCACAAAGAAAGGTACTGGATTATTCCCACTCTCTTAYGGCATGATTAGAGGAAATAAATTAGGCAGGTTTTGCCCTGTGTTTCCAGGCAGTGTAAACCCCTGCCTGGCTGTCTTTGAAATCCTTTCAGATTGGCATTTGGAACAGACTGGGCACCCGTTTTTCCCTTATCCATCATTTCCCTACTCTTTGCAGTCCCCCAGATTCTCTCAGCCAGTTCTGCGCCGCGAGACTTCAGGATACACAGAGGTGCACAACTGACTATAAATAACACTTGATTACCTTAGAAAGGGATATAAAATAAGAAGAAAGAAACATGTCCAAGCACTCAGCCTCACACTAAACTGTTACTTCATCTGTGCTGATTTTTCTAAGCTCGCACTGCCAAGGATCAGAGCAGATCAGGGTGGAAACCTCTCCCTTCAAACGTCGCTCTCTGTCGCAGTTCTTGGGAAGGATCAGTGCATTTTGCCAAGGCCTCTAAGTCTCGCATGGGAGAAGAGCAGCCAGGATATCCCCTCCATACTGGACCACTGATCCCAGTCTGGCTGCTGCATATTTTTCAGCCCGACACCCAAATACACTCGGGTTTCTGCTTTCAGGAATAACCTAACCGCTCCCCCGGCGGCAACCCCGCATCCCGTGGCGGGAAAGGCAGCTCCCTGCCCGGGTGAAACTGCAGCCAGGGCTGCCATGGGGAGGAATCTGCAGGRCTGCGGGCCGCTTTCCTGTGAGCCACCTCGTTTTAATTATAACTCGCACCATTTTCATAGAAAAAAAGGGGATAAGGGGCAAATTCAGCACATCTGTTACCTTTCCAATTAGAGCGGGGTCTAACCTGCGGCAAGGCACTCCTGCGAGGGCGGCTGGGGACAGCAAGAGGGAGCTGGGAGGGCGCCTGGTCCCCGCGGGACCCCTGGCCCCACAACACTCCCCGCTTGCCCGGGCAGCCCTGGCGTCGCCGGCCCACGGCCGGAGTCTGCTTAACACTTCAACAAATCCAACTTCACTTGCTCCCCCTCTCAGTCCTCTACACACGAAGAAAACACAATTCCAGACGACAGGGATAGGGAAGGCTTTTGGTTCCACCCCGTCGGGGGACTCCTGAGCACAGAGAGCTGCGCTGTCCGGCCCCACACGTCGCAACGGGGCTCACGAGTCTTTGTGGTTRCTGCGTGTTGCTTCATCTCCAGGACATGGATGAATTGCTTTGGGAAATCTCTGACACTGAGTCAACCAAGGGAGTTAAAAACCCCACCTGAGTGTGCATGGATGAGACCTTCTCACTCACTTTCCTACAGCTATAGATCAATCCCTCATCCCTGGCGTGGTAGGACCAGTTGATGACTTTGGTGAGAACAATTTAAGGCAACCACTATTTCATACAAATAAGAGAAGGAGGCAGAATTGCAGAAATCCTGGCTTTTTTTCTTGGTAGATTGCAGAGACCAGCCACAGACTGGGAGCAGGGAGACTGAAAAGATCTTCAGGAGATTTCATTTAAGGTTCATGTTTGCAGTGCAACCTTGGGATCTCAAGCCCTCCTCTTAGATGTTTCCAGGTGGCTGAGAGTTTAATCCCTGCCAAGTTCTGTGGTCTCCATCAGCAGCAATGCCTGTTCCAGACACAGAGGAAGGAAAAAGTCAAAAGGGAGCAAAACACAGTGGCCACGTAACCACCCCCGGCTACCAGAGTGTGCTGGGAGAGGAGGACTCCCCCTCTGCATCARGGAGGCTGCTAGCTGGCCCTCAAGCCTCGAACCCTGTCCTTTGCATCCACAGGATGTCTGTGAACAGATTCATATCGAATCTGAAACCAGACCCCTGCAGAAAACATTGGCTATACTGGCATATTTAAACAAAGCTGACCAGAGAGAGTCAACAGCAGGATACTAATTCAAGAGCAACAACAGCCTTCAAGTCTTTTCCACCACAGCTTTCATCCATGTGGTCTAAGCAGTGATTAAAAACACATAAGAAGGCAGTGTCTAACTGAGTAAGAAGGATCTCACGCAGGRTATTTGCAGAAAAATATTGAATTTAACATCACCAATTCTTACAGTGGAAGTCTCACTCCACAAATCCCCTCAATTGAGGGGGCAAAACTGTACTGTGGGACTCTATCTGATCAAAACCATTTGTCAGTTTTCGAGGAAGTTATTTTATGAACAGACTCGGGAAGTGTGCACTGAAATTACACCACAAATCACTCCTGGAACAGCCAAGGGATGTCTCAATCCATATGCAGGCAACTGACAACCAAAGCAGAGGAGCAGCACGTACTGACTAAATGTGCTCTTGCGTTTTCATCAGCAGTGCATCCATCAAGGAATGAGGTGCACTGTCAGTAAAGCCACTCAAGCACAAAATGCCCCCAGTGAAGTCTCCTGGGGGATAAAATCTCCTTTAGTTGTGTTTGCTCTTCTTACCTTGTCCGAGGGGCACATCATGTCAAAAAATGTACAAATAAGATGGCCAGACCAATGTTCAATAAGATGACCATGCAGATCACGATTGTGTTAGGTCCCTGAAGGAAAAAAAAAAAAAAAAAAACATAGTGTTATACACATTTTTTTTTTTTGGTTTCTGACCAATGTGCTTCTAAGCAGTGCTTTTCTCAAATCACATCTAAATGGACTGCAAGCTGATACTGCAAGGTGAGAAGCACTAATAAAGTCTAGGGCTTTACAGGTGTATTTGATAACAGCAAAATGAATTACACTGATTATTTTTTAAGCCTGGGAAATCAAGACTGTGATCTGATACCACAATTCAACTCATAAGGCCCTCCTGTTGCTAAAGAGGAGAAGGAAAAAGAAAAGCGCCTTTTTTTTTTTTTTCTACCCTATGTTTTCCTCAAAATTGTTCAGATACTGGTTGGAAAAATGGGAGGTAACAGAAGAAATGTGAAAAATTTCCCTCAAGATGTGTCTTTGCCTCCGATTCTGCCACTCCAGCTTTACCTCTCGGCCTCACCGGGGCAGCCCTCACCGGAGAGGGCAGGGGAGGACAGGACRAACTGTTCCTTAAATGTCCTCCTGCATTCCAAGCAATTCTCCAGGCTGAGCAGTGTGGGAAAAGCTGACTATTTGGAGAAGTATTTCAGAAATCCCTGGGGCGCCAGGGGACAGCTAATGCAAACCCCAAGGCAAACAGGGTGCGGGTGTTTCGGTGTCTGCACTGAGCTCCRTGTCCCGGCCCGGAGCTCTGCAGCCCCACGGCTGCCCCGCGGCCCCCAGGGGCTGAAGCGCCCGCCCGCCCCGTGCACAGGCTGCCCGTGGAGCCGAGCGGGGCAGCACGGCCCCCGGCCCCGCACAGCCGCCCTGCACCGTCACCTCTTCACACTCCTCTGCCTCCGGAGCCACCGCTGCCGGTGGGAGCGCCTTTCTGGCCGCCCCCTTGGGCTCGGCTTTCACCAGTGCCTTGGTCTCAGTCTTTCTCTCGGCTGTGGCTTCGCCCCTTGCTGGGGGCCTGTGCTCAGGGCTGCGGTGCTGCTTCGGTTCCTTGTGCCGGAGCTCGGCCCGGGCCGCCTCCTCCTTGGCCTCCACTTTGGGCACGGGCTTCTCCTCATGGCCGGCGGGCGTCCCCCCACGCCGCCGGGCGTCCCCCGTGGCCTCGGCAGCCCCGGCCTCCTCCACGGGCTCCGGGGAGAGCGGCTCRGAGCGGTCTTTGGGCTCGGGGATGTGCTCGTCCTCATAGTCCGCGGGCGGGGAGGTGGAGGAGGTGCGCACGGCGTAGCCGTGGTAGCCCTTGTAGAGCTCGGCGTCGGGCTCGCGCGCCATGCGCTGCAGYGGCTTGATCTCCATGTGCTCGGCGGGCGCCCGGCCGCCGCTCGCCCGCGCCGAGCCCTGCGAGGAGGGGCGGCTCTCCCCGGCCGCCTTCCCCGCCGGAGCCAGGGCAGGAGCAGGAGCCGGGGCGGCGCTGGCCGGCGTGCCGGCCCGGCTGCCCTCGCCGCCGCCGCGCTCCTCGTCCCAGGCTCCACGGCGCACGGAGCCGTCCCCGGGGGCGCCCGGCTTGGGCCGCTTGGCCTCCGGCGGGGTGGCGGTGGGGCTGGGCGCCGGGCTGGCCCTGCGGCGCCCCGTGGCCTTCTCGTGCAGCTGGGGGCTCTCGGGGGGCGTGGGCGGCGGCGGCGGGGCGCCCTGCGCCCGCGGCGCCTCCTCCTCCATGTTCACGGCGTGCTCCGCGTTCTCCATGATCTCCTGCATCAGCCGCCTCTTCTGGTACTCGGGGCCTGGAGGGGAAAGACAGACGCTCAGTAAGGGCTGAAGTGCCGGCTCAGYGCCCAGACATGCCAGGTTGGGGGCAAGGCAGCAGCTCTYCCCCTCCTGGCCCCATRGGATGGGACAGGAGCTGGTGGGACYCCRTGGTGCGAGTGACTCCTGGTGTCCCAGTGCCTCTGCCCCCATGAATATGTTGGCATTTGGCTAGAGGTTGGTTGGGAGCAAAATACACCAAAACAACTGGGCAAAGCCCGCTTCAAACCCTCTGCAAGCAGTGGGCTGGGCAGAGGAACCCGCACCAAGATATGGGCCTTGGYGTCCTGCGGTGCCCATAACAGAGAGCAATGAGGAGTGATCACAGGTTCCCTAGGGACACAGAGCTCCTGTGGGTCACAGAGCTCCAGGTGGTCAAGGTGGGATCACAGAGCAGCACATCTGAAAGCAAAGAACCAGCTTTTGAAAATGTCCTAGGCCTCCTTCTGCTGAGCCCAAGCAGTGCAGGGGGTGGCAGGAGCACGGGGCTCGGTCTGTGCTCCTGAACGGCACAGACCCTGGACCACGCTGTCCCCTGGCCTGGCCGCTATCCTCTCCTCTCCTAGGACGAGCAAAGACTTGAGCTGGCTCTGGAAATTGGAGATGGGTGCTTCATTTTCCCTAATAAATCAGCGGTGTGATTTGCATGCTGCTAATGGGCACTGCCTCCCCTCGGGGGCAGTGGGAAGATGAAGGGGATTTATTTTAGCTGCTCTCCCTTGGCTGCACACTCCCATCAATCAGGAGGCGACCCATTCAGGGCCATTTATTTCTGGCTGCAAATAGATTATTTGGAAGCCGTTTCAACAGTTGTTCAGTCTCCTCAAAATAGGCTGCCTGCAGCTCCTGGCTCCTTGCTATCAGCTGGTGCTTTCTTCTCCTCCTAAGTATTTCACATCAGAAAAAAAAGCTTTCCTGGAGGGCGCTGCACAGCCCCAATCCTCCTCTGCTCCCCATCGTGTGCCTCGCCACCTCCACCTCCAACCACGACATTTCAGCGAGGCCTTTGGCTTACATCGTTCCTGCCTAAATTGCAATAGTTGACATCCTCAATGAAGGGCTAAATGCTTAAGAAAGAGCTGAGGTTGTGAACGGGCCTTGTCCTATGCCAACCATGGGGAGGGCCAGGGGAATGTATCAGCCCAACACCATTAGGCTCTCCTGACTGAGATGAATTGCCATCTGAGCCCTAGTGAAGTCCAAGGTGGATTACTGCTTTTTTTTTTTTTTTATGGATGAGGCAGCCTTCCACGAAGACGCTCTTACTTGAGCTTTAATCACATAGATTTTGAGGTTAAAAATAATAATAGAAAACAAATTTGTGGCAACCAACAGATTCCATGGCTGCTGAAAGTGGCCAGGACCCCAGCGAAGCTGCACACAGAAACAAGGAGTGGATTCAGGCACCTGAGCAGCAAAAGGACGAAGACAGGTTGGTCAAGGCATTTTGCAAAGACCACTTCAATGGTCTCATTGAATTGCCACGGGTGGAAAAAATAATCTAGCCTTATGTCAAAAACCTCCCATCAGGAATTCCAATTTCCTTTGCCCCTGTGCTATAAATACCACAGAATGCAAAGGGTGAACCTGGAAGCCTGAGTGGCAGCTGAGGGGCTTATGCYGGGATCAAGTGACGTTCGCTATTGTTAAGCGAAGTGTCACACGCTGGCTCCGGCCCGTGCCAAGCGGCTGCAGTGGCTCCCGGGCTGCAGCCGGCGCGGGACGCAGGCAGCTCTCCAGGGTGACATCCAGCGTCGCAGATGCAGGACAAGGTGGAACCCGGGCAAATCTCTAAGCACGACTCCGAGCTCAGCGCTGCGAGCGAGTCAGTCGCCTTTCCCACTGGGTGCTCTGGCAGCACCAGAGCTGGAGGCCCTGGAATCAAGGCAGGAATAAGCGACAAATTTGGATGTGTGGGAATCACAAGGGTRGGATTCTGTCCCCAGTTTCACTAACATATTGCCCTACAGCCTGTTGTGGTCCTGCTGYGGCAGCCTCAGGGCAGTCATTCAAGTAAAAAAAACAGATTATAAGAAAGTCAGGATGGAGACAGAGGCATCTGGAACCCTCTGCTCTGCCCTATTACTACTTTTTAGAAAGAAAACTTCCCAGGACGAAAGGGAAAGATAATTCCTAGGGAAAGATAATTCATCATGCTGCTTCTAATATTATACTTCTCACCTGCTAAYGCTCACTGCTTGATCTCATAGAAGGAACCCCACAACTGTTTTCCCAGAAAAATAATTGGCAGTGACGCTATTGATCAAATAGGAACTCAGAAAAACAGTATTTTGCGTGAGCAACTTTCTTACAGGAGATAAAAGGCACTAATTAGCTCAGTCTGATCATGCCGTGTGGAGCCCCACAGGATAAGGAATATGAGTCAGCTGTTCCAAGATGTTCCAATAAAGAGGACATATCAGCGGGAGAGATGCAGAGAGACAAGACCTGAGCCCATGGCTCTGCCTGCCTCGTGCTGGGAAGGCTTCACGACGTGGCTGGCCAGGTCGGGGGCAGACTTCTCCGTGCACAGGACCTGGAGCCATCATGAACGGGTAAAAGATATGAGGAATATAGGGAGAGGTTGTGGGGTTTCCTCCAGGAAGTGCTGACATATTCCAAGAGGTAAAACTTTGGTGAAAGGAGGAGGGCAATCATTTATACTCCATGTGCAGGGGGATTAGCTGACCTTGCAGGAAAGCAGATTTAGGATAGACAGGAGGGCAACCCCTTGGGATATAAAGCAGGGGAAGCGTTTGAACAGATTCCCTGAGGAAAGAGCAAAAGCCCTCTCAGATGCTTCTCATCTTACCTGGCTGGTAGAAGTCTGGCGAGAGCTCCCTGGCCATCATCCTGGCTATGCCCGACTCGTTGTTAGCGGCCTGGGCTGCCTGCTCGGAGCCRTCAGCCTTGGCTTTGGCATGGGTCGTCCTGCAGACACAACAGGGTGACAGTCAGTGCCATCCCAGCTGACAGGGCCTGGCTCGAGCACCAGCAACAAAACTAAATCAGTCCATCTGGCATAACCGGAGAGAGGCTCCTCTGCTGAAGCCTCCAGGATGGCTGTGAGGAGACAGGACGTTGTGGTTGCTGCAGGAAGCTGCAGGGCACCCAGAAATACTGAGCACTGAGCAGGGAGAGCACAGAGCCAGCCTGCTGGGGCTGAAAACTCAGCACGTGAAGGCAGAGAGAGTGTTTTCAATAAACAAGATGCACAAATGCTAAAGACTCGTGTGTCTGTGAAAGCTGCACTGAGCCGTGCAAGGAAACGGGGCAAGCGTATTTGCAGATGGGACCGTGTTGGGCACGGGGGTTGCAAGCAAGCTTGCCACCACGCGCCTCAGCATGACACCCTTGCTCAGGGGGCAGCTTGTTCCACACACCCTGAGAATCCCAGGTCGGTGGCACACGGAGCTGTCCAGAGCTGCCCCCGTGCAGGCACGTGGCCCCAACAGCGAAACCCAGGGTGCTGGAAAAGCTGCAGATGAGCAGCAGCCCCGCTGGGTACTGTGCAGACCTTCCCCATCCCATCCCATCCCATCCCATCCCATCGCCCGGCACGGCTTCGAGGCATACGGCCTGTGACATGAACAAGGACACAGTGGCTTAACACTGCCAGCCAGTGCCACCCAAGTGCCCGTGTGTCCTCTGCCATTTTATCCTGAATCTCCAACCCGCAGCTCTTCCGCAAACACAGCTTCTCCACGGGCTCCTTCCCTGGCCCAGCCCAGGGACCTGCTCCCCTTGCAGAGGAGCTAGGAAAGGCAGGGATATCTCCCCCGGCACAACCTGGCGCCCTCCTCGTGCAGCGCGCCCTCCGCTCCAAGCAGCTATCCTGGGAATTCAGCGCCGGCTGTCGTATTCCTCGCATGCCGCGCGCCCGGCCCCTGTGATCCTCGTGCCACGAGCGAGCCTTGCTCTGCAGCCCAGCTGCTGGCTGTCGAGGAGGAAGCTGCCTTCAGACAGTGCAAGAGYACCTTCAAATAAAGGCAAGGTGAAGCACCGCGTCCCCAGCTGCGCCATTCCCGCCAYGGCCTGTGGAGAGCTGCTTTCCCAGTGCTCTACAATCGTGTTTCCAGGGGCTCCCAGTATCTCCCACTCTAGACACAATGGAGCAAACACTGACTTCACATTCAAAGCCACATTGGTTTTGTGTGGAGAGTTAAGTGTGCAGTTAGCAGCCTCCAAACAGCAAGTCACTTCGAGTTACAACCTTTAATGCAGTCTTCTAATAGCTGATGAGCTATTCAAATGACATTCTTTCTATTCAAATGACATTCTTTCTTATTTTTTAAGTTCCAGGTTTGTATCTGGTAGTGTTTTAAGACAAAAAAAAAAAAAAAAAAAAAGAGGAAAGTTGCAGTTCCTGCCTATAACATAAATTCTCTGGAGAAATTTTACCAGGACTGTTCCTTTTGCACATCAGAGAAACGCAGATTGCAGACAAAAGCATCTTTAGTCCAAATACGTTACGAGTGCAATGAAAACTGATGGAAATGCTGCTGCRAAACCCTTATAAGGTAGCAGATATATATATATAAATACAGCCAGCGGCACAGTTTGGGGTGTGGGGGATGAATTGCGTCCAGGGCATCAGTGCCAGCTGATAGGAGCGGCACCGGTGTGACTTGACGGGGAGCGGCAGACGCTGCGCAGGGCCCTGTGACAGGCAGGCGGCTGCAGGGCCGCTCTGCTGCAGCCCGGCCCGCTCTGGGCGCCCTCATTCGCCCCCCTGGCCACGCTGCCGCGTTATCTCCCCCCTTCCTGGGCAAGGCGAGCTGCCTGGCATTGCTGTCATTCCTGGCCTTTTCATCCCAAACTATTGCAGCTCCTGAAACACCCGGACGGGCTCGGTGAAGAGGCAGAAAACAGCAATTTTAAGCCTCTGCTTGCAAGCAGGAGGTCGGAGGGCGCTCGGAAGACAGCGAGCACCTCCTTTTTTGGTAGTCCATAATCAGCGTGATTAATTCCTCTATAATCTGGCAGGGGCCAAGGGGGATGTTTCTGTGCTTTCCAAGCCRGGGGAATCAGGATGGACTCAGTGTGCGGTGCCAGAGCCTTGAGGATCCCCCAGCCCAGGGAGCAGCCAGCCCAACACCCAGCTCGTCCCGGGGCTCCCTAGCTCACGGTCGGGGAAACCAGAGGCCAAGGTGGGCAAAGMGACTTCTCCCACGGCGCCTGGGGACAGAGGCAGGTCCCCAGGGAGGGACCCATCCTGTCAATCCTGGTGCAGGAGATCCATCATATGGCAATAAAATCCTCCATGTCAAACACTTGCTGAACAGGCACTGCCCACAGCAGCACCACCCAGACCAGGAGCCACCAGGCTCCTGCTGGGAGGGGATCCTTTCCCAAAGGGGTCTGAGAGCCAGCATGGTGCTTGTGAAGGCCCCCCTCTGTTAGCAGGGCGCAGAGCGGGGCTCTTGCTGACGTGTYACCAAACACGGGGTGCGAGAGCTCCTGGCTGGCTCTGCATTGCCTGGCGAWGAGGAGAAAGCAGAGGAGCTGCCTGACGGCGCTGCATGTTGCATAGCAGCTCCTGATAACACTAATCTCCTGGAAGCCCCTGCCTCGTAGCTGGAGGTTTCCTTTCCCCTGGAGAAGCTGATAGATCTTATCAGGCTGCTGTGTGGAGCTTAAGTAACTCACCTCCCACAGGCAAATAGACAACGGCGCTGGGAGGGACCATGGCTGCTGAAGCGATGCTGCGGGTCCCCGTGGCTGCTGCAGTGATGCTGCGGGTCCCTGTGGGTGCTGCGGGTCCCCGTGGCTGCTGCAGCGATGCTGCGGATCCCTGTGGGTGCTGCGGGTCCCCGTGGCTGCTGCGGTTCCCCGTGGCTGCTGCGGGTCCCCACGAACCTCCATGAGGTGCCAGTGGCTGCGGGCAGCGAGGGAGGCCAGGGCTCAGCACAAGGCAGGGGGAGCAGTTGCTGTCCTGCTGGCAGGGCAAGGCAAGGGGGACTCGGAGCTGCTGCTAGGACAAGCCTGGGGCTCAGCGCCCACCGCCCTCCTCCCTTCTGCGCTGGGGCCAGCGTCCTTGTCCCTGAGCTGCGATGCCAACAACCTGCCCTGGTCCCACTGGCACTTAGACTATTTACTACAAAGGAAGCAGAGTGATGGACATCCAGGTCGTGCAGAAACCGCACTGCTCCCCGCTGCCAAGAGCTCTGCGGAGGGCTCAGTCCCGCAGCGAGAGAGCAAAGCCTGCAAGAAAGGGCCCGGCCACAACAACACTCAACCTCTGCGCAGCCTCTCTGCACTCCTCACGTGCAAAGCCCGTCCCGGCCCSGGGGCTGTGGGGCAGGGGCAAGAATGGGGCTCAGAGGCGGCTGGCGGTGCCGGGGCCGCTGCCTCCCCGCGCAGGGCTGGGATGGGGAGGGCTGCGCGTCCGGCCCCGCTCTGATGGTTCCCGGGTCAGTGTGCAGACACAGCACCGCTCCTGTCCATCCTGGCTGCCTCCCAGAAACCCAGCCCGTTGCTCTGCCTGCCACTAAAATCCCATGGGGATACACGAGCCGCAGCTGAGCACGGCCACGAACAGGTGAGGCCCAAAGCCAAGCCCGCAAGGCCGCCTCTTGGGACGGTTTATGCGGTTTTGCACATCCACATTGGATTAGACTGTAAACGAGACTGGAATTAGTGGGGAATACTGCAAATACCAGACAGGGCTCGGGCGCCTACAGGTGCAGAGTTGACCTTGTAGCTAGAAATAGGGCAAGAGCTCAGCCCCCTTGCCCAAGCTATTTCCCATGCACACGTTAAGGGAAGGACAGATGCATCCAGCAGCGTCTTTCCTTCTCCAGGCCGGACTGGCTGCAGGTTCCTGTGCAAGCACTATGTGTGAAGGGAAACAGAACCGCACGTATGGTCACTGCCACGTCCAGCAAGGCCAAGTGCCCGTGCCAGCGAGCCCCGCGTTCGCGAGAGGTCCCTCTCACCGCTTAGCCCTGCGATTCCCCCCACACTGACACAGCGGTAACGCAGAGCAGGAACACCCAGAAATACAACGTGTTTCCCAAGTCAGGCATTTTGCCCTTCCAAATAAATTKAAGAGGAATAATTTGTCTTGGCAAGGCCATTTGTGGTACTCGAGGACACAAGATACACAAGTGCTTCTGCTGCTGCTAACAMGGTCTCTCCTGCATTCACATCCCCGAGGGAAGGGAGGCACCACGTGTGCGGAAYGGCCACACTCCCTGGCTTCTCTGTRTGCTGCCAGCTTTCCTCTCCAGGAAATCTTTGCCTCTCATCTTTGCCTCTGAGCCCGGGGCAGCCGTTTCCACCCACTCAGCCCCAGTCCATCTCCCTTCCACCTCTCCCTTTGTCTGCCTCGTGCACACGTAGATACCAGCAAAGCTCCATCGCCCGCTCCCCTTGGTTGCCCGTACCTGCTCCGTGGTGCTGCATCCCTTCTCGGCCCCTTGCTTGTGCCACCATCAGACCCATCTGTCTATCCTGTCCTAAGGACCTCCTGCCCTAAGAACTGGCCGTCCGCTCCACCATCCATTCACCCGTTTTGTTCTGCTGYTTCCATGCACAGTATCCATCCAATGCAGACTCTTCCAGCCCTGGGCAGAGTCTTTGCTTGTTTGCATTAAGCACTCTGCACCTGCAGGTAGGATCTACACAGTGAATTACAACATAAATCAAGGCAAACCTCCTCCTAAAGGAGACACCCCCCTATCACTAGAAAAGAAATCCCAAAGGATAAACCATCCCAGCCTTTACCATGCAAACAGCTCATGAAATACCCTAGGATCTTCACTCAAAGTATCAACACTTATTTCAAAATGATGGCTCTATGGAAATACCCAGGCTGCTGAGCTGGATCAGTAAGACCTTTTCTCCTTCGTTTCAGCRTAAAGGAGACTGCAGGAGCCCTTCACTTGGGAGAAGAGCATCCCTTCCTGCAGAGCACTGCAGGAGCCCAG